GAGACTGCAAGTGATGAACCCCCCCTCACGTCTATAGAACCGCACAACGAGATGTGCTACACACACTACTACCCGGAAAAGGTGTCTATGTGTGTGTATGTGTATGTGTGTGTGTGTGTGTGTGGCCTTGAGGGAGGCCGAGCAAATGAGTGACAAAGTGAGCAGCGACTGAGTAAATAACTGAGTTCGAGTGAGTGAGTGGGCGAGTGAATCAGAGAGTGATCACAGTCCTAGACTTACTCTCTTGCTGCTTGTTCCACAGATCCTCTTCTTCTGCCAGCGGCCGGCCGATCCGGGGCAGGGCGGGGAGACCGTGATGCTGGACGCTCGCGAGGTCTTACGGAACCTGGACTCGGCTGTCGTCGACAAGTTCCGGACACTGGGAATCCGGTATGTCAGATACATGCCGGAAAATGGAAATTTCTTTCACGGGTACAACTCCTGGAAAGAGGTGAGTTTTGCCTACTCAAAAGTATACTCAACAATTATCAATACTGGGTCGCCTATGTTCTAAGAATTAAAAAAAAGTTGGAATTTAGTATTATTTTACGATTTAAGAACAGTTCAGTAATATGTAATCTATCAAGTTGAACTTTTCAAATTGATGAATTTTATGATAATTTTAGTGTATTGGCCACCGCAAAAAGGCAATTGAATACTGTCTGGCCAATTAGGTACTTACTTAATTTTGTAGTCTTGTAGTTGGTCAGTGGTTACGACTTTTAAACTTTGCCACTGAAAGATCTGCATCGAGAACGCATCCCACAATACATTCACAGACCTTCCGCACGGACAGCAGGGATGACGTAGAGAAGTACATGAAGTCACGTGGGATGGCGTGGCAGTGGGGAGAGGACGGGTCCCTCACCTGGTGGCACAACCTTCCCGCCATGAAGCTTTACAAAGGTCATTGGAACAAACCTTATTATGTAATCTCAACTGCATCATGTATTCTTTGTCAAGGAGTAAGCAATCCACCATCTGCATAACATAACATTTGTTAATAAAGTGGTGGCCTAAGGCCGTGTCTAAAAGGAATCACCCAAGGCGGTTTACATGTGGTTTACCCCGAAGCCGGTTTCAAGTGGCTCCATGTGAACGCTCCGAAATCACATTGAAAGCGCCTCGAGCCCAAGCCACTTCTAGAGGTGGTTTCGAATCGGTTTCCCCGCATGGCGATTTGCGTCTGAACGCAATGTGATTTCAATGTGACTTCGCCTGGTCATGGATTACGGGGTGATATTTCTTTATTTATATGCAATACCAACTTTTACGAGGCAGCAACTTAAAGAGCAGTAATGGTCAAATAATGTGTCCGTTCTAGGGCGAGCTTCACCGCCTCTGGCGGGACCACGTCGGCATTCGGCCGAGATACGCTGGGAGGGGGGCATCAGCAAGCAGGTCGTTGACCTCTGACATTAATAACACGCCGCCTTGCGTGTTATCATCAAACAGCAATAAATGTAGCTCAAGCGCATTATGTTCGGACACGGTTTCACAGGTGTGTGTGGCACGTGGACCAGATGTGAGGAATGTGAGGTACCCGAATCGCGGTTTGGGTGATTCCGTATAGACACGGCCTAAGTTCCTCGACTGATACATCAACTTTCTAACTCTGGAAGACTGGAACCCAAACATATAAACAATACTACTTCCGTCTCAAAAGAAGAAATCAACATAAGCCGCCCAAATTACGTCCGGCACCAACAATCTTCTGCCTATTGCCTCTGCTATAGGACTAAGGAGAGTGGTTGTGGTTTTGCCAGCCCACAGGTTGGAACCCAATCATACAAGCGCCGCCAAAAACAATACTTCCGGCACAAAAATTATCTTCTACCTATTGTCTCTGCTATAGGAGAGTGGTTGTGGTTCTGCCAGCCCACCGGATGCAATGCTGACTTCATCACGGCCCTTCCTGACTACGACAGTAGCAGGCCTGTCCCCTCTCACCTGAATCCATTCAACAGCCAATATGGCGACGGCTCGGACATCGAACCAGAAGTTCTTCAGCACATACGGGATGTAACTTGGCAGGTGGGGTCAGATAAATCTAAATGGCATGTTATATGCTACATTTGCCATTTTAGGAATCTTCAAGTGTTGTTTCGGTACACTACCAAAAACTTCCCAGCTGTACACCTTGAAAGTATGTATTCTAAGATGGTCTCGTGATAGAGCAAATCGCATTCAAATGTTGTGAATGTCACTGTGTATTGTACTATAATACAATCACTTTATGATGGAAAACTTGAAAATAACCAAGTCACTAGATATTAAAGTAGATTTTATTTGATTGGCCCAGATTCCACAATAGCGACTTTTAACACTCAGGCCATAACAGACTTTACTTTATTTGTAAACGGTGTATCACAAACCGATGCGATAACAAACGTTTTTAACATCCATACGTTAATTTCAGGCCGCAGTCGGGTTCCAGATGAAGAGACGTGACGTGTTGGTACTGAACAACATGTACATCCAACATGGCCGTCTGGGCTACACGGGCGACAGGAAAGTGCTCGTGTATCTGGCTGAGCCAAATGCCTGAACTTGGACATGATCTAACATCTGAACAGAGGTCAGGAAGAGGGCAGCCATGTTTTTTTAGATGTGGGAACTGGAGGGATCTGAAATCGGCAACAAATTCTAGCTAAATCAAACCATCCAGTGCTCCTTTTGTATTTTTATACTAGATGACTCCTTATAGAGTCGTTATGAAGTGTCATTTTATAACCAGAAACGATTTTAAATGCTCAAAACCTCACTTTGTCACCATCTCGGTAAGTTGGAGCGGGTGCCACTTGTTCCGCCCTCTGACGTCTCAGCATTTCTTTAGTTTTGAACAAATTGATATACCATAGATTATGTTACCTATTATGTTGCCGCGTCTCGTGCCCAGAAATAAACGACCTGTACCAAGATTTGACACAGCTGTCACATACACAAGGAAAAAAAAAGCTTTACAAACCAGTAAATATGTGGGTCTTTGAGTGTTTATTTTGTAGAAAACCGACCCGTGAAAAACGACGTCAACACCACTGTCGTCTGCATGTCCAATGATTCTCATGGGACCGCACTGATAGCGTTCGATACAACCCCCCTCACGTGAGATGAGAAGTACACATATTCATAATTTTACTGTTAAAAGAAAGCTAGAATATCATAAAACGCTATTCTTATTTTTGTTTACCTAATTTCATCATCAACGCCTGAAGGGAGCAAAATTACGAAAGCGTCCGAAGTTAGGGCACACTGTCTAGCGTAGACGCATTCACGAAGGTACATTCACGAAAACGCCTCAAAGTTTGTCGCTTGTAACGCGGAGAGTGAAGGACTCGTGAATAGTATGGATTTCTTATCCAAGTATGTTGTTTACATTAATGTTCTCAAAACTGTTACATCAAAACCTGAGTCTCTGACAACTAGCAACAGAGCGCCGTGAATTCGAGTGCGTGAAAAAGCGTCCCGGATGTTAGGGCACTCACCGTTAGAGGACTGAGAAAAACAACGTAGACGCATTAATGTGAAAGGAAAATTTATTTCAAACCAACAGGACACCAGTAAACTATCAATTAAGAGAATTCGAAGTTTGTAGTACTTAATCAGAAATATTTGAAAGGTATTAAATCGTATGAGCAATTCTAACTTAAAATACGAGTACACTGTCATTGAAAGTAAAGGGCATATCAATATTGACCTAAATGCACACCTTGCTCCTGATATCTTTTTTAGTACGCCATTGTCTAAATTGGGCTTGTAATTAGTAATAAAAATTGCTATATATATATAGGTTACTTTGAGTATTGCAGGTCATCAGCAAATATATTCATCGAAACCATGTTAGTTTCCTGTCGTCCCCCCCCCCCAAAAGTACACTATGTTCTCTTCTCTCTTAACTCTCCTAAACGTACGCCAAACCTCATCTCTAAGCAGATGTTGTGGTGGAAAATTGTGCTGTTTTCTGACTGGCCGGGCTTCTCTAACAACCACTGGATGGATGAAGCAGAAAAATCGTTACAGCTAAAAAAATTCCACCCCCAACATTTGCTTGGCGCTGACGTCACTGTCTACAGCGGGGTGACCTCCATCTCCCGCTTGGCGCGGCTCTCATAAGCAGGAGGACGTCCCAGCATGCCCTCGTCGTACTTCTCATGATCCAGGGGCGGCAGTGTGCCCCGCACGTTGTGGTCGATGATCCCCGCGCCGATGGAATCTCCTAGAACATTGGTGGCGGTCCGGAAGCGGTCCCTGAAAAAATTGAAATGTATGGACGCTTACTGAAAGTATAGATACCGGTTACGGTTTCTCGGAAAATCTGTTTTGCAATAATCATATCTAGCATCTTATATATTCTAGCTTAACGTGCAACATATTTGCTTAAACTACGTCAATAATCGTTAGATATTCCGTTGTACCTTCAAATGTATTGATTTTACTTGATATCTAACGTGATATCTAAAGTTAGCATACTGTCACATACTAGTAAGAATACTTCCAGGTAGCAAACAGGCAATCCCATAGATAGGCTAACCCCGTTGACCATGAAGTCAAAATCTATTCCCAACATGATGAGTATACAAGTATACATACAGGAGCCAGTCAATGGCGAACAGCAGAGTGATGTCCTCGATCGGCAGCCCCACAGCCGTCAGAACGATCACCATGGTGATGAGTCCAGCTGACGGTATCCCGGCAGCCCCCACGCTGGCAGCAGTGGCGGTGACGCTGTGTGTGGATCGGTCACTGTCGTCAGTTTAACTTTAAATGTTACAATAGACGCACTGTCCCCCTTTTAAGGCTTCTGGACACAATAAAAACACGCCTACACTGTTGCCTTCATCAGGCGAAGGGCATGCAATCGAAAACTGTAGGCCGAACTCACCTGACAGCGACGATCTGCCCGAAGTTGAGCGTGATGCCGTTGACCTGGGCGATGAAGATGGAGGCGACGGCCTCGTACAGCGCAGTGCCGTCCATGTTGATGGTGGCTCCCACCGGCAGCACCAGGCGGGCCACGCGGGGATCCACGCCGTTCTTGTCCTCAAGGCAGCGGATGGTCACCGGCAGGGTAGCAGAACTAAAATTGGGTTGCAATTGATAGCAAGGCGGTTGATGATCTAGTCAAGCAAATGTAGGGGATTGATACACCCTAAAGAATACAGACATGCATGTAGATGAGTAAATTTCTGAGAGAAGGGGGAGTACTGTCGCCTTACCTGGAGGCAGTACCAAACGCGGTGACCAGGGCCTGGCCTATCCCAGCGATGTACTTGAACGGGTTCTTCCGGGTGAAGATCAGGTACAGTCCGGGGAGGATGATGAAGCCGTGAATGGCCAGTCCTGTGTTAAAATTGAAACAAGTTAGGTATATGTGTAACGAAGCCCTAGCCGCCGAGCTTTGCTGGTCTTCACATCTCAACGAAGAGAACACTACTTGTACGCAAAGTGAAGGAGAAAGCCCAAGGAATGCTATGAGATGCATGTGATCATGACTGCTTCATTTGTCAAGTCTTTGGAAGGTTTCATCCATTTCTTAGTCTTTTTTTCTCTCGGAAAGTATGGTTCAACCGTCAGTGACGTATAAGGTAACTCTGTCTTTTTTTATTGACAGACTAGTTCTGCGGACGCCAGATGAACTTTCAAGCAATGACTTACCGACGATGACAGTCACCATGTACATGCCGAGCTGTCCCACCAGCTTCAGGGGATCGATCATCTTCATGATCTTACCCGCGATGAGGAACATGATGCCGATGGGAGAGTACCTTGCGACGGGAAAGGCAGAAGATTACATTACTCAGACATATATTTATGTATTTACAAGAAGCAATTGGACAATCGGCTTTGCTTCAATGAAGACACCTTTGAAAGAAACACGTTTTTTCAGAGACAATCTGGAAATCTCATTTTCGAAATTTAGAAAATGATGAGATGGTGAAATGATGATGATGAGAAAATGTATTCACAGATTTCTCAAATACAGTTTACATGGTGCAAGTTAAAGTGACAAAACTAAAACTCTGTAGCCAGCAGAACGTACCACATGATGAGGTAGACCAGCGTCATTATGCAGTCGTTGAAGATGGTGAAGACCTGGACCAGAGGCTTGCCCTTCTCGCCCATACGGCCCAACACCACCCCGAAGAAGATGGAAAAGGTGATGATGCCCAGAACGTTCAGACGGTTCGAGTAACTGCGATAAAAAAGATTCAATATTGTTGTAGGCTGAATTTACAATTTCCTGACTGTAAAATTCTTGAGATTTTCCTGATCATACTGGATCTGTATGGGAAAGACATTGATAACTAACTAATAAATTTGAAACATGTGTTTTATCATGGATTATCATGAGCAATATCATAGACGTTTAGAATGACCTTCAACAAATTTCCATGGAATACAATTGACGTGGGTTAATTAACTTTTTTTTTTCTTTATTAAAACATTTAGAAGCAAAGTGGACAGGATGACGACACACTCAAGCCGAAGCTTATGTTCATGTCGCCATCTGACATTACAAAAATACAGAAGCAAATGCAAAAACAGACATGCAAAGCTTAATAATAACAGAATAGAATAAATAAGGTTACAATGTGTAAAGTACTCCAGGCAAAACTTACAAAATTGATAGGAAAGAATTACTCAAATCTTTTAGTTTCCTTTATAAATGATTGAACATAAAGTAAAAATTTTAAGTTATTTGGATATGATAGTGATACAGAACCTCTAAGGAATAAATGAACTAAAACATCATCAGAGAGATAATTGAGGTTTATGTCAAATCCTACCAACTTAGCTAAATTGCTAAAAAGGGAGGCACGATATTGTGTATTTTCAGGGCAGTACAAAAAATAATGCTGGATACTTTCAATGGGATGGCCACAGGTTAATGAACTTGATTAGTATGTCTTACATGTCACGTTTCTAATGAGTCAATTCACTTACTTTATTTTGTTCTGTTTTGTTACCTACCCTCCTTGCTTTGTATATACCGTGATCTCCTCAGGAATGGCTGTAACATTCGGCGCCATGGTGGGCGTGGTCATGTTGGAGGCCATGTACGCCGGGTTGGGCTTGGTTTGCTCCACGATCCGCGTGTTGTACTGCGTGTAACATGGACGTCACAAGCGTCATGATTGTAATTACTGCTAGAAAAAACGTCGCTACATCTGTGTAATTTTGAACCAGAGATCAGTCATCGATGTTAGTTTTAAGGTAGGAGTATTTCACTTAGAGCTATTCTAATGTATTTGAAAGGTTTAGTTAAGGATGCAGTGGCCTCTTAGCCTCCTGTTTCTTAACCGTCATATATAACTTCCCAGGTCTCGTACTAAATTGTTTCTCTTCTCTCTTCTTCAACATTTATTGCTGATCACCCCTCCCAAATGGAATAGCCCTTGAGTCAGTTACAGTACAGAAGACTCACCGACTGGAAACAAGCCTGAGCAATGTTATCGGGAAACATGTTCCTGGGGGCAAAATATAATAAAGGAGGTTATAGATTTATTAAAAAAAGTATATTCTGACAAAACCTCTGAGAAATTTCGACTATTTTTAAGGTGACCCAGGTCAAGGACAGATGAACTAACGACGACACAGTGTTAGTTATGTCAAAAGGGCAAGGCTAACGTGTTCTGCACGGTATGCCGACGGTAAATAGTGCCTGTGTTCAGCTATCATTCTGCATGGTTGAGTGGAAAAGGTAACAACAACAATGGTGCCTGCACCTTGGTCAAATGTCATTTGTCACCAAGGTTGTCGACAGCGATTAAATTGTCGGGTACCAGCCACACCTTAATAATTGGTTTGAGTCTTTGTGATTTTTGAATCATGATATGTATACCTAATGAGAAATCAGCGCCATGCCTGATGGTTTCTTAGTTCTCAAACAACTGGTGATGTTGGCAAATGCATGTAAAAAGGCTTTTCAGACGCTTATATCTTAAGAGCAGAACAAAATAACACAGGGGATGTGTTGATATCATTGCTATATAACGTAAACACAAGTACACAGATCAACGGCCTCACCTGATGAGGTCCAAGAAGGAATCGGCGGCGCTGACTCTGCGGGAACTTCCCGCCCTCTCGATCTTGCTCGGGTCCCCCTGTCCAGGGTGGATGCTCACCACCAGGATGATGCCTTGCGATAAAAAAAAATTAAGACAGCTACAAATTACAATCTCAAGGGCTTGTTAACGAATCTAGTTTCAATATTTTGGTGGACGCGAAGCAGGAGAACACATAAAAACACATTTACAGCCTGTAAATAATTGACACATACTGTTTAAAAACTGTATTTGTCTTTTGTAGCATCCTTTTGTGCAAATATAGCTGGAAATGGACGTACACAAAACACTCACCTATGATAACAGCGATCAGAGTGGTGCCGGCATAGTACGCCACCGCGCGGCCGCCGAGCCTGCCGGAGGTCTTGGCGTCTAACGTGGCCAGAGCAGAGATGATACTGCACAGGATGAGCGGCAGGATCATGCACTTTAGCATCCTGAGGAACAGTTCTCCCGGGAAGGAGAAGTAGTCGATATTCTGAAACGGTACAAGAAACATCTAGTGGTGCATGATCCGTAAGAAATTAGAGAAAGGGCGGAAAGAGATTTCATTCATTCCTAAAAATTCATTACTTTTGGAAGTCATCCCTTCATCTCCCAGAGGTAGGGTCTGGCTTTTAGTGTTTTACGTGTGTTTTTGGAGGCTTTGTATGGCAGACCACGTTTTTCTCTCCTCCTGTACATAATCTGTTGATTGGCTTTGTAGATTACGAATGCCGAAAGATATAGAGAAGGACCCTACATCTGCTTTGAGACTATATCGCGCCTTACCTCATCGGACAGGTTGGCCATACGCATGAGAAACCCCATGAGGATCCCCAGCCCCACTCCCAGGATGGTCAGGAGCAGGAGGAGATTCTCCTTCATGGCCTCCTTGCAGCACTGTCCCCGGGAAGGACCGGGATCCACGTCCTCGATGTCGTCAGGTCTGGTCATGCTTCCTCACTGTCGGACGCAGAAAAAGTAATCTGAATATGCGGTGTAGATCATCAAAGAGAGGGTCGTGTTCTCATGATAGCGAGATGTCATCCTTAGTCTTTTCCCAATGGGGGTGGGGCATTAAAAGAAAACGCCAACATGGATTACGTTCGACACATGTAATGGGTGTTTTGGTCTTAACTTACAGTGAGAAATGTTTTGAAAGTTCATTGCCTAATCACGCATGGGAACAAGAAGTATTGACCAATGTTGTAGTGTTTACAGTTACGTTGCACAAGCTATACGTGTTGTGTGGGAACTATGTCGGGTATGCAGGTGTCACGACACCCCGGATTGCCCTGCAGCACGTATTGGTGTCACGTCACAGTTACATACCTGCAGACAGACAAAATTGTACCAGCTGGACGTCGTTTACGTGGTTGTCGGTGCTCTGTCAGCTCTCCATAATCCTAACAAGCCTTACAACTAAGGGAGCGCCTGTCAATTTTTCAAATAAGTGCTACAGGACGCCTTATGAACTTGTCCTCCCCTCCTGATCAACAACTAATGGGTGTCAACTTAGAAACACACACGGGCGTGTCATTTGTATCTACTCTGCGACGTTGATTACATATATATATATATAGTCAGTCAGTCTAATGAAAACTATGACGTTGATTATATAGACTCATAAATAAAGAAAGAACAAGGCTGCGCTTTTCACTGCAAATGCCTCCAGTACACCTTGCCCCTGCACCTTCGTCTGTCTCGGATTTCTGCATGCGCGGCGGATGCCAGGGCACGCTCGGCACGGTAACTATCTCTGTATCAGATCACGGCCTGACAGGGGAACTGAACCGCACAAAGCACAAAGACACTTATGAAGAAGACCTGCTATGACCAGGATAGGCACCAGCTTCATACGTTCATAAAGTAGTGGGCCCGGGTCAAATGGCTGGAGGGGATTTAGCTGTGTTACGTCGAACGGCGGTTATACGTATACTGGCTACACAGATACAGATCTGTAGCAAGTATGGCCTTCTAAGAAGGCAACCAAAACGCACTTGGTGGCCTACTACCTGCTCTCAAAGGAAACGTTAGGCTTACTTCTGACATTTTTAGGCCTTCTGTTGGTATTTTTATTTTGCCAGCTTTTCCACTTTACCCAAAGAAAACCTGATAAAATAGAGACCTCGACAAAAATGCTTAAAACGAAGAAAAATGTCCAAAAGAAGAGAAATCTCTGCTTTATTTGAGAGTAGGTATTACCAAAACCTGATATTGTTGCCACTCGGTTTGAAATTTCCGTAAACACAAAGGTTATTAAACACTTATAATTACTGTAAACATTGCAAGCCACAATTTAGATGGCTGCCATGATTTATTGTTTGCACATATGCGTATACGCCTAACCTTGAAAGGGTCAACAACTAAAGACAACGCACGTTGATCCGCGTTTAACCTGTACTATCCTATCCTATGGAGTAATTTTCATCCTACCTTATATTGTGTCCTTGGAATAATGGAAAGTTTCGACCCGACACTGCCTGATTCTCGGGATAGCTAGTCCTTGAACGGTATGTTCAGTGCAGTACGCACTCAGGTCTGAAGGTAGTAGGACTGGTTTGGCTGACGACACCAAAGTTGTTAATATTCATAAGTCTAGGACCAGACCACTACAGGTACAGTGGGAGGACTGATTTCAGTCTCTCTCTCTCTCTCTCTCTCTCTTTCCGTTTCTTTTACCAGTCTCTTTCACTTACATGTAGCCGTCACTAACGTGTCAAAGCGCAGAATGGTATTATATAAAGGCATTAAAGCAGTTCTAATTTGCACACTTATCGACGAGTGTCACGCACCTAATCTGTGGGTTGGTGTGACTTCGCCTCGGGCGACACTACGCACTAGATTTGGATTCAACACTCGGGCAACTTCACCAACCCCATGCTGTGCCCCAACCAGACCCCATGCGGTGAAGCCGCAGTGACCTGTAACGTTCCAAGAGGTTACGGTGTGCCTTGGTATGGAAACGGGTGTTCGTTCTGTTATCATAATTTCTACCAACCAAAAATACTTCACGCGAAAGCGAGCAGTGAAATATATACTTTTTATTGAAATATGGCACACATCAAAAGCCTTGTTTTAAGTATTTTTATACAAATTTATATCTGACTTTAAAATGTACACATACTAGCACTATTAAGTATTGTTTTTCCAAATTTGCTTTGGTTACATAGTAGTACCATATACACGAAAACTAATTCTGCAGCCTAGCATGACAAGCCCAAACGTTATAACCCTATATTAAAAGTGATAACATTAGATATAATTGGCAATCGAGAAAATACTAAATTGAGCTTCTAATTATAAAACCACTTAAAACACAACATGTTGATCAAGTAAACAACTAACGTTATAAGTAATCATCTAATCTTCTTGTAATCATCTTGTAATGATATATAATAATATATAATATTATCTTTTTTTACAATTACATCGACTCTAACATTTATAAGAAAAATGGCTGCATGGTATCAGAGAATCACAATGAAATATATTGATTTGATTTTGGCAAATCCAACACTCTGCTGGTCCGTAATCTAGCAATCACGGTTTGTAAAATTAGATTATATATTTTAGATTATAAGATAAAGTCATCTAAATCAAATTGTACGGCAGCTTCAATATATGATGCTGTATTTCTCGTCCACTAGACGAAGAAGAGAGTGCGGACTAGGCTACTAGATCAATAAGTGTCACAATTTGTACATCTGTTTGTCGTGCACAAGACAAAACTCAGCTCCATTTGCAAACGGTACAAAATCGTCACGTCTTTACCTGGTAGCCACCCTACCGCCTTCTCGACAACCTGACCATGTCAACGGTAATGTGGTTTACTGGCTACAGCCGTGTGGTAACATTCATCGGAGCTTTGCCTTTGCTGTCCCCATTGTAGGCAGGGGGACCTTCTGCGGGGGGACTTTCCGCGGCGACCTCTTCATAGTCGGTGGGCAGGGGCGGCAGTGTGCCCCGCACGTTATGGTCGATGATCCCCGCGCCGATGGAATCTCCCAGCACATTGGTGGCGGTCCGGAAGCGGTCCCTAAAAAGAATTACCCGGGTTGTGTTAAAGCATTTATAAAGACAACTGGTTAGACTTCCGGTGAATAACCACAAACTTGTTCTTATGTACGTTCTGCAGTAGGTAGCGCAACAGATCGCTGACCGGGGAGACACAATTGTCATTTAGCAGTCTCCAATCATGTCTGATGTACAGTTATCCGGACGGTCTGTGTCACATCTCCAAATGATAGATGGAAATAAACTGCCCTTTGTTCGAGTTGATTCCAAATAGCTTTCGTTCCATTATTTCCCAATATCTTTTTCAAACACTCTAGCGTTTTCTGCTAATTTTGTATAACTTCTTCGTCTGCTATGTATAAATGTTTCCATTGACTGGACTCGGAACGTCGTATAAGGCTGACATACTCACAGGAACCAGTCGATGGCAAACAGCAGAGTGACGTCCTCGATCGGCAGCCCCACAGCCGTCAGAACGATCACCATGGTGATGAGTCCAGCTGACGGTATCCCGGCAGCCCCGATGCTGGCAGCGGTGGCGGTGACGCTATCGACGGTTTGTACATCATACATTTTAGTGACCACATACAGTGTCGTGTTTTTCCTTACAAGAGCATGAGATAGTACAACACTGACAAAATAGAAATAGGCTACCAGGATGATACCCTAAAATCGCAAATGGCAAGACCATGAGAGAACATGGTTCTGAGTACTGATAAGCTCTGTACTACATGTAGTACTAATCTAAGTACTGATAAGCAGCTGAGTTCAACTCTACCTCGATCATTCTTTTCTGTAAGGTTTTATAGCAACATAAACACTACTTTCGGACTTATGAGATTTATTCTTCTCATTAACCACCTTGATCTGATTTTTGCCCGCAGAGAGCAAATTCAAGACAGAAATATCTGCGTGTGGCATCATGTGTTGCACCTCGTATGAGGACGAACTGAACTGAGAGTGCAAAGGCGACCTGTCGCTCACCTGACAGCGACGATCTGCCCGAAGTTGAGCGTGATGCCGTTGACCTGGGCGATGAAGATGGAGGCGACGGCCTCGTACAGCGCAGTGCCGTCCATGTTGATGGTGGCTCCCACCGGCAGCACCAGGCGGGCCACGCGGGGATCCACGCCGTTCTTGTCCTCAAGGCAGCGGATGGTCACCGGCAGGGTAGCAGAACTAAAATTAGAAGTGAGAATACGATATAAACAATGGCCCGTGACGGTCTAAGCTTCTAGTGTAAGTTTAATTTGTGCCTTGTGTCAGACTATTCTCTCCATATATAGAGAGAGACAGTATGTCCAAATGACGCGTGCTACGCGAACAACGGACACTCTCGTTATGATTATCGATTTGATGTAGGAAAAAAACAGTCTGAACTCGTTTCTCTTGCCATATATACATGTAAAATACGAAACATGTTGTCTTCTTACCTTGAGGCGGTACCGAACGCCGTGACCAGGGCCTGGCCTATCCCAGCGATGTACTTGAACGGGTTCTTCCGGGTGAAGATCAGGTACAGCCCGGGGAGGATGATGAAGCCGTGAATGGCCAGTCCTGTGCACGAAACGGAGGAACGGTTTGTTATGAGGCAGTAACAGTGGGAAGGGAACGGAGGGAAGAACGACATTACGGTTGGTATTCAAAATCAATCAAAAGTGCTATCGCGCTGAATTTGCAATTCTTTACAGCAATTGAAAATGTCACCGAAGGTACAAAAGAAAACAAACGTGTAGGGCTTTCCTGTTTGCTTTCATCAACTGATTTACAAACGGTTTACCATAAGCAGTTGACCGTCAAAAGTTTAAAAAAATGGCAATAGTAGTAGCTTACCTGCAATGACAGTCACCATGTACATGCCGAGCTGCCCCACCAGCTTGGCTGGGTCGATCATCTGCATGATCTTACCCGCAATGAGAAACATGATGCCGATGGGAGAGTACCTTTTGGGAAAAAGGACACAGTTAAGAATGCATGATGGCGTTGTCTTCTTTGCTTCATCCGTGAAAAGGTGATGTCATGTATTCTGATAAATAGCCGTAGTATATAGAGAATGTGAATATGCTGTATTAGAGACAAAATCCATCGCTCATCCGAAGGCCATGAGTTCAAAATGTTTTAACGAAACAGGAAGGAGAATCTTTCGGAGTATTTAGAGCTATTTGTCGTTGACCTACCTAGACCACTTCTGGTCGACAAGACACGCGAGTTTTACGCAAGGCCAAGGCCAAACGTTAGCGCAGACGTTTACGCGTATGTCACTTACCACATGATGAGGTAGACCAGCGTCATGATGCAGTCGTTGAAGATGGTGAAGACCTGGACCAGAGGCTTGCCCTTCTCGCCCATACGGCCCAACACCACCCCGAAGAAGATGGAAAAGGAAATGATGCCCAGAACGTTTAGTCGGTCAGAGTAGCTGCAAGAGAAGAGAATAGGTTTTGTAAGCATTGTAAGAGTACATTACATCCATCGTCTTCGACTGTGCATCTGTAATTGTACAACTCATGATCTTGCATATGCTAGAGTTGGCAGGTACTTCATGGTTCAGTTAAAGCTACATGTGGCAGTAGCTGATATCGTGACTCCCGGCCTGAATCTTTCGAAGTCAACAACAGCGTGCGCTCTTACCCTCCTTGTGTGACGAACACCGTGATCTCCTCAGGAATGGCTGTTCCGTTCATCACCATGGTGGTCATGGTGGAGGCCATGGCGGTGATGTTGGGAGGGGTGTACGCAGGGTTAGGTACGGTGCTCTCTATGATCCGGGAGTTATACTGCAAAATACAGGAGGGGGTCGTGTCTTAGTTTGCAGAATACAACATAGAAGCTACAACAGTATAACGCAACAAAACAAGATTAAAAAAGATGATACAAGCAATTTCCAATTAATGACGACTTACCGACTGGAAGCAGGCCTGGGCAATATTGTCAGGAAACATGTTCCTAAATGGGGAATAAAACAAGCTGTCTTTAGAGAAGGCTCCAAGACCAACACCAAATAATGCAATCTATGCAACCATGTATTGCTGCAATTTTGTATGGGGCCCAAAGAAGAGGTTTATCCAATTCTAAATGACCAAAAACCTTTGATGGACTTGATGTGTTACCTGATGAGGTCCAAGAAAGAATCTGCGGCGCTGACTCTGCGGGAACTTCCCGCCCTCTCGATCTTGCTCGGGTCTCCCTGTCCAGGGTGGATGCTCACCACCAGGATGATGCCTGACAATAAGAACAAGAGTAAAACTATGTGATGGCAGTTTCCCAGAGACAGCAATCTAGAATGAAAGGACCTGCTCGAACCTTTAATTAAATTGCCATTTAGGTCTCTTTAGAATCAACCATTTCGTTTTTGAATGTAGCCGCATTGGATAAAATCTTTCATCGTACACACCTATGATAACAGCGATCAGAGTAGTGAACGCGTAGTACGCCACCGCCCGGCCGCCTACTCTGCCGGAGGTCTTGGCGTCCAGAGCGGCCAGAGCAGAGATGATACTGCACAGGATGAGCGGCAGGATCATGCACTTCAGCATCCTGAGGAACAGTTCTCCAGGGAAAGCGAAGTAGGCTATGTTCTGGAAATATTGCAAGAGATGAAGAATGTGGTGAATGTTACACCGGGATGGGCCAAACAAAGCAACACCGTCCTCTGGTGCTCATCAGAACGCCGTGGGACGGTGACATGTTCTGAGAAATCGTGTCCTCGGTTATCCTGGAGACGATCAGAAGACCGAGTTCAATCTTTTGTGTTCACATGTTGGACAATAGTTTGACATGTTCAATGATGTCGTGTACCGACATCGACGAACTTCCTTGCTGGTAAAAGATGGACATCTACCATCTATAAGACAACAACAAAAGCGTGGGGCGATTTTCATTTGCATATTTTGTGTGTATATGTTTGCGTGCGTGGTTCTGGTAGTGATCACGTGCTTACCTGTTCGGACAGGTTGGCCATACGCATGAGAAACCCCATGAGGATCCCCAGCCCCACTCCCAGGATGGTCAGCAGCAGGAGGAGGTTCTCCTTGAACCATTTCTTGCACTTCTGTCCCCGGGAAGGGCCGTAGTCCACGTCCTCTATCTCAACAGGACCGTCCATGTTTCTTCACCGCTGGAAAAGCGAACACAAAACACTACTGTTGTGTTGGGAACATCAGCGATGACTATACTTAGCGGTATTTACAGTTGCGCAAGCCTTTGTTTGGAAGCATTGCCGCGTATCTGTCACAACACGTAGGAATGCCTATTGCTTATTTTGCGCTCTGTTCTACACAAACAATCACCGGTGTACAATTATGGATGTACCAATCTTAAAACTCTTGAGCTCCAAGATTGCAGTCCCCAGGACCCTCTGATTACTGCTTGCATTCCATGTCACTGCATTCGATGCGTGTCATTGTAATGTTTGCACACAGAACATAGTTTAGTTCCTTGGCATGGGAGGATCGAGAGTGTTTAGGTGGAGGTGGAGATGGAACACGCAGTTCGCAGGTGGCTTTTAGGGGTATCACATCGTCGTGCACCGTACTCACGTACCGTAGTGATACTTCCGTTTGTAAACATGGCACTATGTATGTTACACTATTATGCGGTGTCTGTAACGTGGAAAATCACAGCAAAGATTACAACAACATACATGTTTTATTACATTTATTTCAACATCGGCTCATTTGAACTCTTATTTCATCTTTTTTTTAACAGCATGAGCAGTAACATTTTTTTTACAAGAAGACACATACCATTGCCATTTTGACGACGGTCCTTGCTCTGAGTATACACTAGCTGTGGGTCAGTTATCAAGGTCGGTTTACCAGTGTTCGTGTCCTGTGAGGCGAACTGATTTAATACATAGTTTACCGGTTGAAAGCACTCGGGTGAGTAACCTGCAGCTGGTTCTTGGTTACACTAGCGAGGGAATAACATGGATCACAGACTAACTATTACATTTATACTGAGACCAACCTGATGAATACTTTGACTTTCCCAAGGCCAACAATGTGCCTTGTTCCTAGCTAAGTTCAAGTTGTTCTCTGTCTAAGCCACTTTGGTGTTGTCAGTACCCTGTGAACTGTAGTTGGTTGGTTATCTTGCGTTAAGTTATTTGCACACCGGGATGAGCACTGATCCAACTTACCCCAGGTGTCATGGTGGACAGACTGGAGTACAAAGCTCCCAGTGTAGGGGCAAAGGCAGCCTTTCAATACCACAAGCAAACTACCCAAGCAAAACAACGTCGATGTGATATCTGGAGACTACAGAGAAAATGGTGTCTTACGTACATTACATTGTCATCACTGCTAGCTACTAGTTGTTGATCTCGAAGCTGTGAATTTTTGCTATGTAAACGGGAAGTGCGTATATGCATCGGCACAAAAAAAAATGCCATGTAAACGGGAAGTGCGTACATGCATTGGCACAAACAAAAATGAGTTGTGAGAACACGGGGGTTTGTTTTTCCCGGCTATATTGTTAGCATCAATCACTGGGTAGAGCTGCAAACCTGCATAAAATCCTACCTGGTAGTGGGAGGAGACATGTTAAAGCCACTCTTTCCTTTGTCCTGAGACAGACGTCCGTTAAAAGCTACTTATAAGATTAAACGGCCGTCTTTTTGCCATTGTTGGTGTTAATTAATTCTGATCTCTTAGGCTTGGAAACACAACTCACACGACACTAACACGCAGACATGAGCACATGAGCAAAGATAAAGCAGGGATAACGTGACCATCGAAGTGCCTTCCTGCTTTCTTATCAATGATATTTTGACGAACAAAAGGGTGTAGAGAAAAAATGGGGAAAAGTGACACATCTATGGATCAATCAACAAAACATTCACCATTGTGTGCTGTACGGTATTGTTTCGAGTTGGCAAACAGTGCGGTATGTACGGTAAACTTCTTGAAGTTTCTACATCATGCATACGAATCTTCTACCATGGAACAATGCAGACGTCGTGTCAGGTCTGTGCTACTTTGCCGCTGGTACCACGCTGTTCAAACAGTGTCAGATAACATGGATCATCCCGGTCATCGACCCGCTTAGGGTAGGGTGTAATGACTGATACTGTAATGTACCACATTACAAATACTCTTCTCTTCCACATATTTTCTTACACCACTTTGATATATTGATCAACTGCAGAAAGCCTATCTCCAAACACCTTTAAAGAAATGCCCAGGTCATGTAAGTCAGAGAACCCCTGCTATCTCAGAGGTCCGATCACAGTAGTTATCCTCGCAATGTTTAAACACTTGTCCAAGTCTACCATGGCAGGACGGCAGACAAAATCTGAGTCCTACCAGTTGTAGGTTATAACATTATATTGAATTCCCGGGCTGCCTACTCAGTAAGGACGTAAAACATGGCTGTTTGTTCGCCACTTCAAGAACACTTGATCTTAACGATTAACAATGATTTATTGTACTTATGGTCCCCATTTTCCGCCTTCCAACAAGTCCTATTTGTACGTGTACAGCGTGTGGTAGTTCGTTGCGTACTCGACTTGACGGTGCATAATTTAATTAAGTTTTCTGACAAGTAACAGGTACATGGTTAACTCCATAAGTACCTGAGGCATGTGCTGTATGGGGATACAAAGACGCAGTATTCTGGAGACTAGGGATTAGTAGTAAATATCGTGGAATAGGGCTAATCTCTGTACGTCTTTGGTTCTCTGGACAGCAGGTAAGAAACATGCCGTCGGCTACATCCTGCCCTAGGCTCCGGTGAACATAAGGTCAGCTGCAGCGTATACAACAATGTCAGTCAGTGCAGCGTATCTTGTCAGATGTGCATCTCAAGCTGGCTTGAAGGGTTTAAGAATGCTCACAATAGTTCTACAGAGGTACTATGTATTCACTAGACTTCTCCAAACAAACTCACCCAAGTGTTGTCAGGTGCTGCTACCGACCCTAGCTACTGTGTAGTCTTCAGCTCGCTCTTGTTTCTTCGTCGGCGATATAGAGACGTGTCAGGGACACCTGAGGAACGTTTCAGTGAGCTGTAGAGGTCGAGACGGAGACGTTTTATACAGAAATCACTGCCCCTGGGGACTGGGTGAGTGTTACAAGGTTATCCTGCTGTAGCGAAGTCGAACGTTATATCCCGTGGTACACCCCGTGCGTGGGACTCAGGGGGTCAACATTTACATATGAATACTGTTCTCATGTTTCACACTCTGCCGACTTACAGGTGAGCCTGGGGGCGTTAGCCTTCGCCAGGCTAAGGGGCTATGGATAGTGAGATTCTATGGCTGACGAGAGAAATGAACCAAGGGTAACATTTAACTGCGTGGGCAAATGAATTCTATGCTCTATATTCTCTCCCAGCAAATTATTCTCCCTCAGGCCACGTCAGTGGAGCAGACTACTGGGGCGTGCCGTCTTGACAACAGTTTGGGTCTCATAGTTGGGCGTCCAACTCGAGATCGATTGCATTTGTCTTCCTCTCTGGTTACATGGCAGGCCACATCCTACTGACGTCACGATGACAAGCAGAAATACTCATCTCGATCTTCCGAGGGGGTAGTGAGAACTGTGCCATGAAGTCCATAGTCACTTCCTTCCGGCAACGTACAAGCAAATAGTTTTTTAATCCCTATTTGATTCATATATCAATGCACTTGAAATACAAATTTGCAGGCAACGTAATCGTGTCACTTTTTACGACGTTTTTCTCAGAGTTCATTTAAACCTCCTTAGTGAGAAGAAACATTTCATGACCATAATACTTGATGGTGGCACGTGCATGACATGCCAGAAAATTTCGAACGAAGAATTTGACTTGAAGAGCAAACTTATTACATTACTTATAAAGATTCATATAGTCATGTTTACGGGTCGCTTTCAAAACGTCTGAAGTTCTTAGATGCATGAATACTATAGCGGTGCATACAATCCGACATGTACAGGTGGTGCCAACTCAAACAAGGAAACGGGTCAGTAAAAAACAAGAAGCCCGCCCACCATGAACAGACTATTACTTTGCTTGTATACTATATATACCGTTTATATCAAACACCGTGTCCATGGCAACAGTTCCGACAGCACGTTTCTGGGTGAAGCAAGCTTAAGCCTTTTAATTTGCTTTGCCAGGGGTGAGCGCACATGCATGGTGATACATGAATGATGGAGCCTCCCGAATCGACCACATCGACGCCACACCTAGCTATCACATGTTGCGGCCAGACTCGTTTGAATACAATTTGCCTCATTTGATCTCCTGTACGTTTGTAACTGACACCCAAAGAAAGGGGGCCTATAAATCAATGTCAAGTTGTGGTTAGTCAGGAAAATGTACATATGTAGTTGAATTTCGTTAGATAATGATACATAATTTGTCCGAAGAGTCAGATCAGACGACGACTAGAAAAGATCCAGTTGGCGAAATAAAGCAGAATGGCCCTGTCGTAACTCTTCATACTGTGGCTACATGCAAGGCCAGTCCGTGAAGGACTTATGTTTCTATAACTTGGAAGAGGAAGTGAACCAGATATAACAAGACACGTGGCTGATTTCTAACGTGTCACCCAAATACGTGATGCTAGTGCTCTATGTCTCCCTTCCAGAGTTATGATGACCGTGGTATGGTGTTCAGGTAAAACATCATCAGAAAGCTCAGCTTTCCTTGCCTTTTACACAAGCTAACGCGAGTTATCTGGCCCTCCGCCATGTTCAAGGTCTGTAAACATGCCTGCACGTAACTTAAAACTGATCAAGAACTAAACACATACGTAGTATGTACCACGGAAAGGAACCTTAATACCTCATTGGAAGGTATTACTTACGCTACTGAATTCACCAATACAGTCCTTCCTGAAGAAAGAAAGTAAGTCTGCCACCGTCCCTGTCTGTGACTTTTTCTTGGGGACGTTTCCAGTACTAGTCTTGAACTTGAATCAACATCCGGGCAACTCCACCAGGCCAGGCTGCCGTACGTAGATCATATTTGTTCTCCTAGTCATTGTTGTTGTATAATAGTTGTGTACCCAACATGCTATGCAATCCCTTCTCCTTTCTTTTGCTTCAAAACTTCATTTTATGTGTTGCAGTGTCGTGCCAAGATCCAGGATGCGCCACACAAAAATCTCAGAATGCATGTGAGTCAAATAAGGACCCACTGTAATGCCAACATCGAGTCGCACACAGTTCTGAGGTTGGTGTCATTTGATGGCGCTGCGGAAGTATAGCGGAAACAGTCGGTCCCTTTGGTTGCTCTACAGAGTATCAATTAAAAAAAAAAATAGCCCATCCGGGATTGGGGGGGGGTGGACTTCTTGGCATGAGCTCCTGCCATTGAACTGGTTGGAAACCTAGATGGCTGTCACACTGAGTAGTCTCAAATGCCGCCTTTTGATGTTTTTACCTGATGTGTTTTCGGCCGAGTGTTGCCAAGTCACGATTTCTTCGAGCGATCCGAAATAGCAGATACAGTGCAATTTTACGGAATACAGTGCAATTTTTCTAGTATTGACAGTGCAATTTTACGGAATACAGTGCAATCGTATTACTATTAGTATACAGTGCAATTTTACGGAATACAGTGCAATTTTACTAATGACGTCGTTGTTATGACGTAACCTGGGCCCGGCTTTCCAGTGACGCCGCTGACGGAGCGTACTCACGTCTTTCTGTGTTTTTCGAGTGGGACCGTTCTCGTAGATATGCCTTTAGTCAAATCACTACATACTACACACAGGGCATGTTAACGTTACTACTACACAGGGATCATTTCGAATTCGCTCGAAAAAGACAGAAATATGTGAGTCAGCGGCGTCCGCCATCTTGAAAATGAAAAAAGCAGGGAAAGACGGGTCCAAGTCACGTGATTAAACGTCATTAGTAAAATTGAGTAAAATTGCACTGTATACTAGTAAAATTGCACTGTGTTCTAATACAATATTGCACTGTATTCCGTAAAGTTGCACTGTATACTAATACGATTGCACTGTATTCCGTAAAATTGCACTGTATACTAGTAAAACTGCACTGTATTCATTAAAAGTGCACTGTATGATCTGTATGTAACTGGCACCCCTGAGAAATTAGCGTTAACTGTTAACGTTAACGTTACATCCCAGATAACCTTAGTTGAAGACAACTATAATTCGTATGTTTAGAAAAATTATATTCGATGTTTGATTTATATCGAAAAGACCACAATTTCCAGAAATGACAAAGTGGATGACAGACAAGGACGACGACCAGCTTTTCAACCTGCAGTTTTTCAAATTTCCGCACAGCGTCGTGGCAAGCCTGGTTATCGAAGTTATCGATGACGTAACTGGTGATCACAACCAAACCTAAAGTAGAATTGATATGTGAGTTTAGTAACACCGTTTTCTTTAGTAAAGTGTATGTTTCAAAGATAAATATTCATCAATTTATATCTATATCACTAAAGGTCCAACATTGTGACGACAAATTTGAGAAAACATTTATGATTCGTTTGTACGTTTCGCTGCCGTTAGGAATGTTCGGCCATCTTAGATTTTTTTACGGCTACCATGGAGCAAATAAATACATATGACGCAAATGGCTTAATACGGTTATAATTCAACTGTACATCAATTTGCAGATAGGCAGGATGTAACTGGAGTATCAACCGATGATTATAGAGTGGCAGCTTCAAGGTACGAAGCACTAAATATTTTCTAGAGTCGTTGCAAAATAGGTCTTGCGCCGGCACCAGGTAACGTTATTTTTACATAGGAAGCAAAATAATTTGTAAAGAAAGCGATAGTCGATTTTGAAATTTGATGACGATTCCTTGACCAGACGCACGTCAAACGCTTTAGAAAATTACTTCGAATCGAAGCTGAAGATGTAGTTTAGGCTTACACAGTTCGAATATGTAAGGGGTGCAGCTGCAGCTGGAAGAACAGTTCAGGTGAAACTTCCACTGAGCTCAGTTTTCAGTAACGTACGTTATTATCATCATGATCAGTTCATGTTGATGTTTTCCAAGATAAGTCGAGAATCTAAATAATCCCAAAATTGTGTTCACTACTACTAGCTAACCGTTAGTGTTTTTGTTCTAATGAATATCATGATGACTTTAAAACTTGTTTTTATAATGTTATATATTTTGTGGATAACAATTCCTTCCTATCTCTCTTTCAGTCTTTCAAATGTCCATGATGTGACAAACCAGAAATTTGACTCTGCTGTAACCCACATGACAACTGGGTCTGGGTACCTGTGTGAGACTGTGACATCTAACTCAGCTCTACAGCTACGTAGTACTGGAGTGTTTCAGACATATAATATATGAAGTATAACAACATACACAAGTTCTGTGTTAACTAACAGCCAGTAAAACCAGCCATGGGGTCTGGAGCACCGCTGCTGAACGAGTACAAACAGGACTTCTTCTGGAAGCGTTTTCCCCAGACCTTGCTGGGAGGACAGAAACTCCGGCTGGGCTACGACGCCCCTGCCTACGTCTACATCAACCAGCTGCTCCTCTTCATGTTTCCCTGGGTCGTCGGTGGGATATTCACTGCCGTGGTGGAACTCACGACTTTAGACGTCTCTGTGGGCTATTACTCCGTAGGTGGCATCATGGCCGCCTTTGTTCTCATAGCACAGCTGATCAGTTTCGTGGTGCGGCGGCAGGGAGCGACCGTCACCAGACTCGACATCCAGAACATCCTGGCCGAGGACGATGAGGTCGACTTCGAGTCGTGCTGCGGAGTGGAGACGGTGGAGTTTGTTCTCCCCGGGAAAAAGTACACAGTAAACATCATGATCCATGCCCTCCTGTCGGGAGTTATGTGTGGGTACGGGTTCTGGTACCTCGTGCCCACAACGTTAAACTCTCTGTACAACACCAACACTGCAGCCACAGTTGTACTGTTCATATTCGGCTGGCTGACCATCTGTACGGCCCAGTTCTCCCTGACGGCCGCCCCACCACCTGAACCTGCCACCTTCAGGGCACAGGATGTGTACGAGATTACTCCACTCATGAGGCCTTTCTTTGTTTATGTTTTTCTCGCGTTTGACTTAGTAGCAAGGTAAGTCCAATCCCTACTCATGAGAAATGTTTCTTATGATATGATATATGCTATCATATCAACCAGGGTAGGATGAGTGTACATTTGCAGAATAGGAGGTATGACTGAGTATTAGGAAACTAAAATTTTAAGTAAAAAATGCAGACTCAATATTATGAATCACTCACACTCACTATCCAAATTGCATGCATGTACTAGCAATATTTTATTACAGGAAAGTGACTGAAAGAAAGTTTCTCAAGCCCTGCAGTAGCCAGTAATTACACTGCTGTAATCTTCACAGAAATCACTGCATTCATGCAGGCCTGATGAGCGTGCTCTGTTGGTTGCTTAGCAACCATCACCTTGCCCCAGGTGTTTTTCAGGCGTCCTTAATGAGCAGGTATCTTCCACCTGACTGATCCGTCATGGGAAGTGTACCAAACTGGTTCTTCACTGTTTGTATTTCAAAGTATCAAACATTGAAATCATATCAAAACAGGTGTTTCTCCAATTTTCCCCCATTCCATTTTGCTACTAGTCTAAAAGAGTAAGATAATGCCATGAATCTCGGCTACAATGTGTTGAATTTGACATGTTACTTTTATTGTTAGTACCTCCAGTGAAATACTGCTTGTAGTTGAAAGGCTGTCCATTGCATTGGTACATGTACCATATTTTAGTAAGTTTTATGCTACCAGTAGCACCTGCATGAACATGTTGAGAATTTTAATCCTTCAAATTCATCTCTCTTGATCAAACTTTTTGTGGCCGTTCATGTGAGTGAGCAATGTCTAAACATAACTATATTGTCTTATTTTTTCCTCTGCAGATTTCACACATCATTTTCGGGAGTCAACCAAGTGCTCCACGTTGTGTTCATCTTCCTGCCGCTGTTCTGGTTACTGGGACTCCTCCCCCCGCTGGATGCGCTGTTCTCATGGCTGGGAGAGCAGGTCCTGGTGCTGGCACTGGGGGGTTCCCCCGCTGCTGGGGACATCAGGTGGGTGAGATATTGTTCCAGAGGCCTTTCAAAACGAAACATTTCAGACATTGAATGATTGTGTTAAGTTACATTTAATATGTATATTGATTAAGATTTAAGACTAGAATGTGCAAGAGGTACATGTACAATGTATTCTATAACTTACATACAGTTTTTCACTTGTCATTACTTGTGTATCAAACACAATGTAATTATCATGGTCCCCCCTTGGTTTAAAGGTTGCCATTCATTTTTAATGATTAGTTGTCTGGATACTACAAACACATTCCAAGCTCTTCACAATCAGCAGAGAAAATAGCAGACTGCCTGGCAACAAAGCAATTAATATCACGCACATGATGCATGTAAGCATGACATGTACCCTGGCCACTGTCAGGGTCAAGGGGAGGTCACGGTTAGAAGTTCTATACAGGTGGGGAAGTTGTCTAGAGATATACTGAAACTGTTTTTTCTTACAGTTTCAGTATAACTTATAAGATGACAAGATATATACATATTGTACATGTATAATGGATTTAGCAAGAAGCTGTATACAGTACCAGTAGTTACAATGTATGTTCAGTGTTTGGACAACTGTTCAATATAATTTGTAAACAGGTTCTCACCTATTCTCTATTTTGTATGTCAAACAACATTCAGTATACATGTGTTACAGTTTCCAAACAACTACTCAATAGTCAGGTTTGGAAAATCAATTTACCTAGACAATGTGTCCTATACACCTGTGGTATACTGCTAGTGTCTGCAAGTTGCTACACCAGTCATGCATGCCACCTTGCAGTAATGGCGATAACTGCAGGTATTTTTGCTGTGGCTGAATTATGCCCACATAATGCTTTCCCTGTCAGCAGCAGAAGTTATCTGTGCCTTGTGTTCTGCTAGTCTATCTCTATGCTGGTACTTTGAGAATTACCAAGCTTACAACTTATATGGTCAGTCAACATTGCCTGTAATTATATTGTATTGCTGTGAAGAGGACTTCAATTTGTAACTTTACAGTAACCATGACAACAACACATTCCTATGACAGAAGTCAACATGGATCAAAGTGTTCATGATATTTACCCACCTAACTCCATGGCCACGTCTACTGGCCACACTGTACTCCCTAATTCTATGTACAGGACATAAAATGGCAAATGTTCTGCATGGGGTGCAAACAATTGATATGTATTGACAGGGCTTGAAATACCCACTTGCTGCTTGCAGACGTTTTCTAGATTGCAGGAAAATGCAGAAAACATGATCTTGGTGAAAATGTCAGACTCAGTATAACTATATTGCCAGTCAAGAGTTAGCTTAATGCAAGCAGAATTTTTGGGAACTCAGAATATTTCAGGTAAAAGTATTTTGAGCCCTGAATAGTGACTGACTGTCACTATTAATGATAAGTGTGGTTACTATAGAAGTGTAAGTCTGAAATTAGCCTGGGTACCATCCTACTTGTATAACGGGCCTCCCATACTCGCTTCCCTAAGAAGTTCTTCTTAGGGAAGCGAGTGTGGGAGCCCCGGCATACAAGTAGGATGGTACCCAGGCTAGTCTGAAATCACACAAAACAATCACAGATGTTGTGTAATACATATGACCATTTTATTGCAATCCTTAGTAACAATCATGGCCAAGAGTCAGCAGCAAATAATTGTCATCTGTGACAAATGTGATATATGTTTAACAAGTCCATCACAATCGTAACAGTTTGCTTTACTTTGACAAACATTGAATATTGATTTGTCTTTCAGAGCAGGCTCGTGTTTATTGTAAAAGAATGATTAACAGTCCCACAAGCCCTTGTCAAAGTCCCATGCTTACAATGGTACAAACCTTGTGACTGAAGCATGAGATAATCCTTACAATTAGCCATCTTTAGTGACATTTTTGCTAGCAGCTTTAAAGTTTTTCTTATGGGCTTTGGTTGAAGTGTTTATAATCATCTTCCTCATATACAGAGGGAAAAAGCACTCCTCAAGATGTGGAATTTGCACATTCATTAGGCAACTGCAAACAAAAGTGTTATGGCATCCACATAGTTTTTTTCTTTTCCTCTGGTTTCTGCCCCCTTCTTGTTTTTGCTGCAGGATAAGTCTTACTTGCTTCAATTCCTACAGCTCTGGACTTCACGACTTTTGGAGCTGGCCACACCCGTACCTGCTTGACTTTCCCGTTGCTGTGAGAATGTGTTGCTGGTTTCCTGGAGTCTTTAGGAGCGGCTACAGAGCCATTCCTGATGTTGGTCTCCTGTAGAAGTTGTCTGTGCTGTTGCATCTTGATCTTCATCTGTGCCACCAGTTTAACTCTCTCCAAGTACTGCGGCATCTCTTGTTTAGAGTTGCGGCGGACGTCTCCATTGTCTGCTGCCGTTTCCTCCTTCTGTTCGTACTTTCCCTCCAGTTCCCTGACCCTCTCGTTCGCATTGTTACATTTGTCCTTCCAGTCCTTCACGTCTCGCTGCAGCTCTGACAACTTCTGCTTGAGAGTCTCGTTCTCCTGCCTGAGTGTCTGTAGGTCGGTGAAGTGTTTGTCATCTGCACTGTCAGGTTTGGAAGATTTCCCTCCCATGTCCTGTGGGTGTACCTTCATCTTCCCTGCAGCGGCGCTGGTTGTGAAGCAACGGTTCCCGTGTGTTGTACGTAGGTCTCCTTGGTCCTCCCCCGTGTGTAAATAGCTGTTCCTACAGTCAATATTGACACATTTGACAGCTTTTGTCTTTCATTCTTCCATTTGGTTCACCTCGTGTTGTCTGAAGGAGTCCCGAGTCAATCGACTTTTAACTAGGAGATGTTTGAAGTGTTGGAACAGGGCGGTCCTGTTTGTTCTTCAACTTTACAAGTGTTGGCTTTATTAAGATTTAAAATATCAAGTCCTATCTTTCTAGCAGCAGCTTTTGTTGAAGTTGCAAATTGAAGATTTAAATCAATACTCTCAATGTTGCAGTCTATAAGAATAAACGTGTTTAGAAAGCTTTCTTGTCTTGGGAAACTAATTTCGAATATGGGATTTTTTGACTGCTGAGATTGTCCCAATTTTGTGGACCTAATCTGTTTAGGGTAGATTATGGCCAATTAGCCCTCAATGTCTTTTGTCCTACCTGCCACAGATGGGACAACAAGCCATTGCTCGACAATGTTGTTGTACTAATCGCTTGATGTACGGTGAAAACACAGTGTCTTCTCAAAAAACATGTTGTTTCTGTGCCTTAAGTTGACTCATTATCCCTACCTAAAACAAGAATAGGTCCTTCCAAGACTGAGTCACAGCTCAAACAGTATATCGGTTTCCCAGGTTGCCCCATGAGTGCTAAGGTGTTGGAGTGTTAAGATGTTCTTTTTTTGAGAGTTCTAAGTGTTTGTGTCGGGTCAGTGATTAATGAGGCCCATGACCATGTGAAGTGCTGTAACCTGAGGCACTCTTGAGGTTGACTTGGCTGTGTTATTGGAATTGGTCAGAGTTGTAAAGATGTAAAACACGAGAAAAAACACAATTTGTCATGTTGACAAAGGTACTAACTAAAAAGAAAAATCTTTAATAAAGAAAAGAACGCTAGTTGTAAAAGTGAATGATATTTGCTTAGGTTAAATTCAAAACATAATGAGATTGGTACAAAAATACTTAGTATATTATTTTGTAGTGTCCCCTCAGTTAGAGGGATTGTGGGCCCTACTAGGGTTTGGGTTGGCGTTAGGAACGGCATCCAGTCACAAGAAATCTTTCTTCAAAAAAGACTTCAAACACGTTTAACCCCCAGTTTCGGGGGGAAAAGACGATAAACTGAATAGAGAGAGAGAGAGTGTGACTGTATTACATTTTGTAAAAATTTGTTAAATTACCGGTACTGTTCATTTGCCTCAGTCTGCAGAATACTGCAAAGTCCTGTAGGTTACTGGTGATGCTGTTGCTGTCCTGTACAACAATAGTGATAACATACTTCCTGCCCACATCCCTGGCCTTGGCTATTATTGCTGTTTGTGCATTTGTAACAATGTTTGTAACACATTTCTCCTGTTTTCTTCTAATCATAGGTTACTGGTGATGCTGTTGCTGTCCAGTACAACAGTAGTGATCACATACTTCCTGCCCTCGTCCCTGGCCATGGTCATCACTGCTGCCTGCTGCGGCTACCTGCTGAGCCTGGACCTCGGCACCCTGGGAAGACAGATCCTCCGCTGGTGTCGCTCCAGCTCCAACCCATGCAGACCTGACCAGAAACACCAGGAGGAGACCAACACCATCGTCACTACAGGGTTAGGGTGGGGGTGGACATGGAGGGAGTGCCTGCTGCATCTTCTCATGCTGGGGGTGACGGCAGCCGTGGCAGCAGTGTGCAACTACTTCTCTCAACCAGTCAACACTACAGTCCGCGATGCCCTGGGCTACTCACTCATAGCTTTGTTAGTTCTGCTGAAAGTCTTGCAGAGTGCACAGAGTGTATACGTCTGTTTTGGTTTAGTTACGGAACCCCTTGTTCCCAGGGAGTGCACAGAGGATGGGGCTCTTCAAGAAAAGGAAGAAGATCCTGGGCTATGTTGGATACATCTACAGGATTGTGTCAACAACAGGTACATGTCACAAAATTCTGTATGATTTATTTATTGCATGTAATATGCAAGTCCACTTGACAATATTTTGCAGTCCTATTTTACAAACCCTACACAACTTAACGTGAATAAAACCAACTACATGTTGTTAGAGTTACTGTCCCATGTTTTCTAGCTTGTGTAGAACCATGCATCTTGGAATTGCTCATGTCTTGAAATTAACCAGAGCTGACTGTTGTTGTTACAGTGACTCCTCTACTGATGGTAGCCTACACAGCCCTGTACGTGGCACCTACTGGCCTGACTGTCAACACGTTCATACTAGCTGTGGCTGTGTGCAGAGCCCTGAGGGTGGTAAGTGTCATCTTGTCTTAACTCATTCAGCATTAAAATAACTTGCTGTGACTTTGTTTCCACTCTAAAACACGTTGGGAATGGTTTCTAATACTAAAATACACCTTCCCATGAAAAATCAGCATAATTAGACACGTTTCAAAGTATCTTTGTCAGAATTCCCATATGCACAGCTAAAGTTGTTGACTTTTGTTTATCAGGTGTGGCAGAGAATTACATCTGCTCTCTTTGAGCTGGTGGTTGTCTTCATCGTGACAATAGCCCTGCCTACCGACGTGTGGTGGAACAGCCTGGGCCTTGGGCTGCAGCTCATGCTGGTGGGAGCCAGCCGAGACCGGTTCCTCCAGCTCTGCAACAAGCTGTACTTTGCCCTGACAATCCTCGTCACCTCGTGGACGGAGAAGAAGCAGCGCCGCAAAGACACGGTCCCCATCATCGTGCTGAACTGTGTGTTCTTCCCCGTGGTGCTTGCCATCGTCGTGGCGGCAGCGCTGCTCTCAGCCCCTCTCCTGCCCCTCTTCACCTACCCCCTCTTCCTGTTTGGCTTCCCCCGCCCCATGCGGTCGTGGCCGGGTCCTGTCGGTAGCTCAGCTAACGTGTGTCCGGACACGATGTACTATCGCCAGGTCGCTGCTGTATTCAGCAAGGCGCTGGGACGAGCGTTTTCAAGTGGGAGTCTAGGTGAGTCCAACATACTGCCTGGTTAAATTTATTTATCTAATATACTTGGGAAGTACATGCTACTTTGGGTATTGATGCGATTGTGGGTTTTTTTACACAGACACAAGCCCCATAATGCATACTGTGTCCAACCTAAGTGTCTACATTCCATGCCCAAGTTTCTTTCTCAGTCAGCCATGATCATACATAGTAATCATACATACCATTCCTTGTGTAATGTTCCGTCTAGGTGACCCTGACCCTGGATGTCACTACCTGGTGCGTTACCAGGACCGGTCCCTGTGGGTGCAGGTCCTGGAGCGGGGACATGGCTTCTGTACCGTCAGCATCAAAGGCCTGGAGCTGCAGGAGACGTCCTGTCACACCGTTGAGGCCACTCGGGTGGATGACATCTTCGAGCTCGCCTTCGAGAGAGACGGACACTCTGCGTGCGGAATGAACTCCCACGTCTTCAACACGCTGCTGCCTTGCGATGCCCAGCTCGTCAACACGTACTCGGACGCTCGCAACGTCCTGACAGGCATCATCGACTCCCATGACAGTCTACATCAGCTGACGTCAGACTTTGTAAAGACTCTAGTCTGGGTCTTCCTGCATCACAACGCCAAGAAGGACTACAGCTGCCAGAGGGATTCAGTCTCCAGACACGACGTTGTTACAGCAGAGCGTGATGTACACAGTAGAACTGCACTTGTGCATCCCGTTGATGAAGAACTTAGTGAAGGCTACAGGTCCCAGCCTGCCTCCAGGAAGCAGTCCTTCTCTGGCAGCCTGCCGGACTGGTCTGACGATGACAGCGATATCTTTGAAATGGAAACTCTGGGAGACAGGAACAAGAACAAAGTCCGTTTACCAGCAGGGCTGTCGGACAAAAAGCAAACAACTAAACCAGATGCAGCTACACCCTCCCTCCCTGGTACAATAGATGATGATGACAGCCTTCTCAAAGAGCTGGATGGAATAGGCTTACCTGCTACTGACACTGGGACCAAGCCAAAATCTCATGGCTTCCCTCAACCAGCTACACAGGCGTACAAGCCTCCTGTCAATCTGTCTGGGTCCCTGAAGTTTACATCACCGTACTCCTCAGCCTTGAGCTTACCTCTGAAGTGGAGAGACATCCCCATTGACCCAACAAGGCTGGACAGACTCATGGACAAGTTCCCTAAGGACTGGTACCAGCATGTCCTGTCCCTGTTGGACCTGTCTGTTAACGGGAAGACGTCAAAGCAAATCTGTGAGGAGATCTCTACAGACGACGTGCTGACAGGGATCTATGCCAGGCTGGTGGTGGCCTGCTATGCAGTGGTGAATGTGCTGGGACTCAGTGGCAGTGATGCAGCAAGCATGGGAGCCAGCCATGTGTATAAGGTATAGCTTTGTTAGTGTATAGAAATTTTCTTCTTACACCACCAGTAAGGTTCTCACCTGCTTACATTTCGATGTCTATCAGACACCTTCCTCAGAGCTTCTGGAGAAGCTCTGAGGAAGGTGTCTGATAGACATCGAAACGTAAGCAGGTGAGAACCTTACTGGTTGTGTAAGAAGAAAATTTCTATACCCTAAGTATCTTCCAACCTGATGAAATTATTTACGGAGCTTTGTTAGTATTTGCATATACATATGTACACGTAGATAACCAGTTTACATGTACATGTATGTCCATGTCTTGAGTACAGCTCCACACAAAATCAATTCTTAACCTTACTGTGCACTGTACATTCATCATCATCACCTCTCATATTGTTCATTAAATAGATACACTGTCATATATGTACATGAACACGAAGAGTTTTAGGTACATTTTTGTATGCTTATGTCTGTATGTTCTGTGGGTGTTTTATTCAGGTGTACACAGAGGACATCCCTTGGTCCCCTGACCTGGACTGGTTAAAGGAGGACTCAGAGCTCTTTCATCTTGTTGTGAGAGCTTACAGGTAATGCCTTTTTATATAGCTATGTTAGGAAAAATCAAGTTTACAAGTAACAATTATCTTCAAACAAAATCAACCTTATGTTAAAGCTAAAGGAAAGCAGGATAAATGGGAGTCTTATCTCTACTTGACTTTTTGAATCCCTTTTGGAAGAAGCATCACATGCAGCTGTATGCTGTTCTAGTTCCTATTTCACTATTATAATTGTTTTGCCGCAGGTATGCTGTGAAGCTGATGTACGACCAGGGCAGCCTGGGGCTGGTGGACGGGGAGGAGGAGTTAGTGGAGTACCTGCAGGAATATGACAGGGACTGGTACATCGGCTGTGAGAAGGACACCCAGTGGGAACAAGCGGTACTGCAGGGAAAACCAAACCTCTTCTCCCTGGGCTATGACCCAACTCAGGTACATATCGAATTACTGCAGGTGCTCTACAATTAGTTTTGACCAAGATCATTGAAATGTAAAAAGCTATGTTTAAGGGCTATGTTAAATCATTATCATTTAAATTTTGATGCTGTAGCAAAGTGTGGCTTATGGTGTCAACTTCAACTTAGTGCCTTTTTTGCTTCATGTAACACTGAAGTAGGTACATAAAACTGATCTTTCAAGCCAGCCAACAACTTCTGCACAGCAGTCACTGACTCACTCCTCACTGAGGCAGCAGAAGTTGCACAAATCACATCTAAAGCTTGTCACACTTCTGATATCTAAAGGATTAATTGACTTCATACTACTCTAGAAGTCCATTGTAAAGTGCTGTTAAGTATATGTAACACACTAATGACAACTGTTGTTCTCCCACTGTTCCAGGGAGCCTACACAGGGCGAGTCCTGACCCAGCAGGAGGTGGTGACTCACATCGGCCAGCTGAGTGGGGAGGCTGTCCGCGGCCAGTGGGCATCGCTGTCACTAGAGCTGCTGTACTTCACCAACGATGACGAGGAGAGGTACAGTATCCAGGCTCACCCCACCCTCCTCAGGAACCTGACAGTACAGGCAGCAGATCCACCGCTCGGGTATCCTGTCTACTCCTCACAGCCTACAGGGGTACCTGTGCTGTAACACTGTGGAGAATGTTCCTCTCAAACACTTTTTTGTTTGTGTTAGGCCACACCAATTTACTTGCTTGGTTCTTGGATCTAAAAAAAAATATGCTTAACTCATTAATAGAAAAACATAACGAAAATGAAGCCTGAGGACCAGGTTTATGCCTTCATGCACTCTGTTTTATGGGGTAAATACTTATAGTCATATTCAAGCTCCTCCTAAAGTGCTTTCATGATGTGTGCTTGAGAACCAAGGAAATAAGTTGGTGTGGTCTTGTGAGATTTTATCATTTTAAACCTTTTGGTTTATCAAGGCGGCTGTTTTCATGGTTTGTGATGAAGCAAGTTGCAGAATTGCATTTGGCTTAGATACCTCACTTCTTACATTCAAATGTATGTTTGACCAAAGGTGAACAATGTGTTTGGTATAATATTGTACATTTTCAAGTATATTGTCCAGGTTGTTTCCAGCCATCAATCTGGGATGGCTTCATTACACAACATGTTCTATGCACCAGAAAAGTGACTTGTGCTTGGTAATATGTATAGTTATTGTAAATGTCCTGGTAGCCTACTTTTTTTTTACTTTTTAAGTCAGAGACTTTAATCTGATTGAGGCAAAGGCAAGAGTCAAAAACTTGTAAGGAAATGTGTTTTGTACATACTTGAATATATTTGTGAGATATTTTTGTATCTAAAATTAGAACATTGTGTGTTTTATGCAAAGTAACACAATTATAAAAAGGTTTCATGTAACTAGCAGTAGCTGATTTTAGCGGAATTATAGATTTTAATGTTTTATGCTGTTGCAATGTATAGTTTGGTGGAACTCAAAAATCGTTCAGGAGGTGAATACTTAATGTATTATATGACTGTTACTTTGACCTACAAGGATTGAATTAGATGTTCACTTCCAGAAAAACATCTTGTCCTGTTTGTGTACATATTATAGTAATCCAGTAGTTTGACATATCCATTACACATGGGACCAAAATGGAGTTTTTGAAACACTGCAAAGTACAATCTCTTCAAGACTTTGAACTTGAAAACTTCTGTAAAGAAACTTCATGGGACACATATCTACATGTTTCCACAGTGTTTGTGGAGCTAGTGATACTACTAGTACTATTACATTCCACCAGAGAAATGTCAGATCTGGCTGTACAGAATGGTGAAATACAATGTAAAGTGAAGCTGACTCATTGGTATACTTTCTTCTTTTTACCAATAGGTAATGGTTAGTGTTCAAACAAAGTTGATTCAAAAATTAATTTGAATTTGACTTTTATTTGGATCCAGAATAAGCTCAACACGTCAGCTATTCTTCCCATGATTCTATGTACATCACTTACACATCAGTCAGTCATGTACAGAAATACATAGGATCACATAAGAGACAGGATGACTACAAGATAACAATTATACATGATTTGACAGTATAGTTGCACCATCTCCCCTCAGAGTTTTGTCACTAAATCACTGAAGGAAGGGATTAGGCAGTAGGACTCTGGTTGCAGTTCACGGACTTGGTGGTTTTACTGCATTTTCTTGTCCTGCATCACGATCTTCATTCGACGCTTGGCAAAAGTTTTGGACATCCTGTGAGACAGAAGAAGCGTTAGAATGTTTAAGAAAATTGTATCAGTGTAGGTCTAATAGCTATTTATATTTCAGTCCATACCATGGTATGGATGAAATATATTGTGTTCTCTCATGTTTCTTCTCCTCCTTCTCCTCCTTCTCCTGCCAAACAGTCAAAGGGATTCAACTCCGCCATCATTCAGCCAAATGACTTGAAATTTGGCATGGAGGTAGAGTGGGCCAATACCCCCAGGCGTTTTTTTCATTTTTTTGATACATGCCTTTGAAAAATTTTTATGAAGGTTTTTTGGGGCATTTTTCGCCAAAAAATGGATTTTTGGATCCTGAGCCCTGGTTTTACAACCAAATGATCTGAAATTCGGTATAAGGGTACCTTGAACATGTGTCTACAGAATAGCAGTCACATATTTGGCATACACCACTTCCAAATGACTCATTTGGGGGACTTTAATGGCTATTTTCAGCAAAAAAAGGGCCAAAAGTGCTATACCCGTTCCATGTTCTATCTAAAGAATACCCGTTCCATCTGCCGTTGGCCATGGAACACGTGTTCCATTGCGGGTTACCTGAGGTCACATTGCACATAAGTCGTGCACAATGACCCACACATTCAATTTTATGTGCCTAAGACCTTCAAAATGTATCAAATCTCATCATTGTTAGTATTTGCATACCTGTAATAAGATTAGTAAAGCTTTCGAGATTCAATGTGCTTGTTCTTGCATCTTTGTTCTCAATTACATAGCTAAAACTATATAATTCATTTATTTGAGAATCTTTGCCAGTTTTACACAGTTTGGAATAGTCCACTTTTGCGTGGGAGGGAGATGGACTGAAATATGCTGTATTTGCTCCCAAGCAAATGTCGGCCTCTCTAGTTAGAAATTGCTTTTCTAGAAAGTTGCAATCATGATATATTCATTCTTATATAACATATACAAAGATGAATCATTTGTTTTAAGTTTGACAGATTATTATTAGTAAACTTCTCTTACAGTTGTACATAAAAAAGAAAAGAGATAACATGTACCTCCTTTCCAGGGCTGGCACTGGCAGGTAGCTTCTGAGGTAAGGATATAACAGGTACGGGTGCCTCGCTACCCAGATCTCATCCAGCCTGTTAGCCATGCCGACTGCCAGAAGTCTGGCACAACGGGCCGTTGGCATGTCATTGGAATGCAAGGGGTCCTTTGTAGGATCTAATGTGGAAGTCTGTAACATTTAACATGTTGATTAATCTTCCTTGAAATTACATTCAGTTTGCAGGACATAGGCAAAAGCATGGAACAACAGTGAACACCTGAAGGACATGAACATATCACAGTATCACTATAAGCATCGTACTTAACATAGTACTAAATTGCCGTACCTTGTCTGGTTCTCCCACCAGTACGTTCTTTCCAGCGTTGGATATCACAGGTCCAGGACAGGCCAGGAGTATGTTTATATCGTACGAGTGTAACTCAGCTCGCAAGGCTCCGAAAAAGCCCTATTAAATAATAAAACAGAAAATGTTAGCCGTTGAAGGAGGAAATTAATGCTAATGTTTGAAACTGCATAGAATACATCCCAGTACTTACATGAACAGCGAACTTGCTCCCACTGTAGGCAGACCCCGCTGGTGTGGGTATGATCCCTGACAGGCTACTGGTGACCATGATCTGCCCCTCCCCCCGCTCCATCATGTGAGGAAGCACAGCCTTGGTCAGCGACACCTGCCCCAGGACATTCAGCTCAAAGATGTGCCTGTCACCGGCCAGGCTTGTCTGCCAGAACACTGACCGCTGACCGCGCCCACTGTTGTTCACCAGGACGTCAATCTGGTGGAAGAAAGAAGGAATTTTCAAAGTGTTATCGGCTGATTATGAGGCCTCACACTATAAGTGAGTATACGGAGGAGTAAATAGGTAGTAAGGGGGTTATAGAGGAATTCCTTATATACTAGTAACTTAATTGCTAACAGTACCGAAAGGACTTAGGAGCAACAGACGTAAAAGAAAGGTGACCTTACTCTGCCAAAGTGAGCTAGAACCTGCTCCACACACCCAGCATGGGTGTCAAAGGCAACAGAGTCCAGTGGTAAAACCAGCACGTCACTGTCAGAAACTTTCCCGGTCCCTGCAACAGATACAATAGAAAGTGTATTAGATTGCCTGATTGGTATAAAATATGTCAGCACTTTTGACCAGATATCTACCCATCAACTCTTTGAAGTACATTTTTGTACTAGTAGCTTTCAATTCTCAGATTGTGCTGGCAATTTTTCTACATCTGTACATGAACATGTGCACTCTTATAATTATGTTAAGTAAATGGTAGCTGGCCACATGTTTTAATGGGGCTAGACGATTCTGTGGAGAATTCAAAGTGATAAAAAGAGCAAACTATGAAACAGCCCACTATGAAAACTGTGCAGTGTAATATCATTGTTTACAGAAGAGGCAGTCTGGGTATAAACTCTTTCATACTCATAGAAAAAGACTGATCATGTATCTACAGACCACAAGCTGTGAACTTTCTCAAACTGTGGGTAGATAGGCTACTCCATAATGCAGACATTCACCCAGGCATGTTTGCTTGACTCTCCTGAGCTCGTCCTCCCTCCTGGCAGACAGCACCAGTTTAACCCCTGCCCTGCTGAGCTCCACAGCCAGCGCCTCTCCTATCCCGCTGGACGCTCCTGTGATCCACACCACCTTACCTGCCAGCTGGTCTGCATAAACACATGGGGAGATTGCCACAACCAGCAAAGGATTGACACATTCTCAGTTCCAAGTCGTTTTTGGAAGTTTTTAATAGGTTACTGCTAGAATTAGTCATCAGAATTATCTATGTAGACCTGAGAGTCTTACCTGGAGTCTTTCCAAACCTCTCGTACCACATGAGTGAGAGGTCTCCATCAGACAGGAACAGTCTCACTACCTGCACCAACAGGACCAGCAGAAATCCGGATACAACCAACTCCAGCATGGCTGGGCTGGGGTGCTGGAACAAACAGGGCATGATAAGGGGGGGCCACGAGATTAAAATCTAGATTTCAAGCCTTAAATTGGTCAAGTTCAGTCATGTTTGGGATTGCATTCTTCTCACTGCAGCACCACTAGAAGTGAGGAGTAGAACCAGTTAGTATTCCTCTGAGGACTGGTGAGACAAAAAATGGTGAGACAAGAAACTTCTTGTGCAGTCTTCTAGCCATTCTTGTACTGAAAGCATTAATTGACCCATGCATTTTTTGAAAAAGGCATAATGGTTTACAGCTACAATTTTGAACATTGAAATGAGAACCATAAAACACATTATTATGGCAATCTTGCAGTAATCTTCCATGAAGGAATAATAAATGTTACCAACAATGTTGCAAATCAGAATTATGTAACAAAACGAAACACACTCCAGGACAGTTGAGAAAGTGTTTCCAGTATACCTGCTCAAAGATCTGGACGTTAAACAATGTGTTACACGTAACAAAGGCCAGAGGGGCAAGTGCATTATTTGAAACAGGTGGTTTTTCCTTAGTTACTTCCGCGTGCAATTAACAGCAAAAATGCTCCTACAAGAAGAATCCATAATAGAATTGTTTCAGTGATGTGCTGTGGAGTGGTTCTTGTATACATTTATTCGTACTTGGATTAATCAGGGTTCCGTAAGAATAAGCAACACCCTCCCCCAACCCCTCCATATGATTTCCTTGGTACAACCCGGAAATCATGAGGGATCAAATTACGAACTTCAAGGCTAATCATTGACCAGATTTTACCTTGAATGAGTAACTAAAATTGGAGTTTCCGTATGACTGTAGTCTACATCACCGTTGTCAGTTAAACGACCAAGTTACTAACAGTTTGTAACAGGTGGTTGATATTACTCGGTCGGTGCACACGGTAGGGAAAGGCTGCAATAAGCTGAGTCGCCGCTAGGACTGCTGCTGCACTGTGATAATACAGGAGGCGAGTGCATAATCTCCAAGCAGATGTTCGAGTGGAAAATCGAAACTCAGCTTTTATGGCAGTCCTCGCTCCCTACTTGATTATCAGGACCAGGTGCCGTCGGTAAACCTTTCTTTACACATACGCCAAGAAGAGAACAAAGACTGCCTGTGACAAAAACAAGTTTAACTGCGGATTCATGGACCGACATTTTTCTAGGAGAACTACACCTACGACTGGATATGACAACCAATCTTATGCTGTCGGTGGATCGATTCTTATTGGATAGTTGAAGACTTTGATACCGAAGAGCAAAAGGCAGTCATGTGCATGTGTTCCAGAACTTCATGCTAAAATGTTTTTACTTCAGAGCAAATCTTTCGAACAAGGGACAAAGATACACTGTTACGTACCGTGTTCTCGAACACAGATTGTTCAGATACAGACTGTAGTGTTTGCGTCTGACAACGGTAAACACAAAATCAGGTTCATCCAGATTGAACTAGGATCGTGAATCCGGTTATTTTGAAAAGATGGGTTTCATGAGTCTGACAAAACACGGACTCGGACTTGTCCTGCTGGCGTCGGTCGGGGCCCTGAGTGTCCTGTATGTGTCCTGGAAGTGCACGCAGAGCCATCAGGACGACAAGGGGAACAAGGGAGCCAAGAAAAAGGGAAAGAGGATAGATGATGTGGTCACTTGTGACGCTATCACAACCAAGGTAGGCAGAATCAATGTTATGCTCAGTGTTGGAACAGTCCTCTCATTTTGAATATAAAGCAAAAACCCTTCTATTCTAACGAGTAAAGTGTCACTATTATAAAAGTCATTTTCAAAACTTGGACCACCGTATTACAGATTGTACAAAACAAATTTGTTTCGTTCTGCACACCTGCCTTTCTTACCCACGGGGACTTTGTACATCATGGCGATTTTCGTAATTCAACGTAATTCATGACAAGAAATGTGATAGTTTTCACTTGATAACCTGTAGGTGGACGACTCCCCTGCTGCGTCGAACCAGGCGGAGCCTTGTTGCGGCCCAGCAGCCTACCTGCAGCGTGTGCAGGAGGAGAGAGAGCGCCTCGTCGGACGATGTGAGGACGCTGAGAAGTACCAGCGCTGGAACCTGTCCTCCGCTGGTATGCCTTAAGTTTACGACCGCTGTAGTCTGAATTTCTCACTAAACACACAAGGAGTCGCTGTATATGTCCTTGGATAATGTCCAGCCCAACATAATTACGACCTACGAGTCTTGGCCGCAACAGACGTTTCTTTATACAATGTACTCTCCAAGCAAAGGTTGAACAGTATAGGGTGACGTTTTGAGCTAAACAGATACTCTCCAACAGAGTAACGAGATCGTTATCTTTTTCTTATTGGCAAGGAGTTCCACTGATCGGCAGAAAGCGCTTATTAGTCTTTCTCAAGAAGATCTAGGTAAGAAGGCGTACTCACTAGTTATCTAAGGTTACTTATCATATCTTTATGAAACTGTTGTACACGCACGCGTGGTTTCAGTTCTGGAGCGCGTGAGGAGCGCCATTGGACAGTCCATCCTCATCACCACCAACAAGAAGTCAACCATGGCCACCTTCGAGGAGCTGTGCAGGGTCGCAATGGTGAGTTGGAGAAGATACCATCCACGTTTTAAAAGATACGTTCATGCGCCAGCATACAGATACAATGTATATAATATAGGAACGGATGACATTTATATATTCGTTTGAAAATGTCCTATTTATTTTCAATGTTACAAGTTAATTTGAATCTATACAATGACGCTCTGATGAAAAAAATGATCTAAAGCTGCAGCCCTTCTTACAGGCGCCAGGAGGCGACAACCCGTACCGACCAACAATGAATGACCTGGCTGCGTACTGGGACCTGGTGGAGAAGCAGGTAATAATGACGTCTCAAAAGAAACTACAACGTCAACTCAAATACATACATCGGTAGAATACGTTTTTTTTGTGTGTGTTTTAAATTGCACCCAACATCTTATGGGGCCTGGCGACAGAAAAAAAAAGAACTGCCGCCCTTTCCTTCCTCCTGAAACAGCCCCACCTTACGTTTTATTTTATCAAATACTCAGGTTAAGAAGATCGACCGCCTCTTCGATGAGGTGCACGCGCTGGTGAAACAGGAGGCCGCTTAGTCCTGTCCACACTGCTAGCCGATCATCCCTGCCGATATCTTCTACACCTTTACGCATTGTATACATATAGCAGTGGAGAGACATCACATTAAAATACTTTTCGCAACTTTTTCCATGCGTGAATGTCGAGGAACGCATATATGCCTTTACTGCAGTTGTGAAGAAAACGTACGCGAGAAAGAAAGGCATATTGCTGTCACAAGTCGGATTGTCTACCATTACATCACATTGCTTTTGTAAATCTGTATTCCCAGGCGCTACTCAGTTTTCCAATTCCCAATACATGTATTGCTGTAACATGTAATAGTTATGTGAAGAAAATAAACGTTAACGTTTGAAAGATTGGATTTTTGTTTGTTTGTGTGTGGTAAATAACGTTACATGTTTCATTATAAAACTGCCATATTTCGCTAACTCTTCAACGTCATCACCTTCAATACTGATATGCGAAATCAAACCAAAAACGTTATCTAAAACGCACCAAAGGCGATTTAATGCTTATTTGTTATTGCACTTATAGCTCTAAAGTCTTCTAATCCGTTCATGACTTCTGCTGGAGTGCTGTAAACAGATGGTCATCGATGTTAATTTAAATCTCCCGCCACTCGACTGTACCATTGTGCATGTATCCCTGTTGCGTAGCAGTATTTCTACACTTAAACTATCTCACATTTAGCTATTACTTTATTATCATAGAAACAATATAAATTCTATCACAAAAGTTTATAGACGAATTTATGATCAGAATATTCAGAAATACGCGCCACGATAAAATATGTCCCCTCTCAGTGGAATAGTCTGATGTTAAAGGTCATTTCTGACCCTCGCTCATTTGAGAAAGCGAGGCGCGCGGGACGAGCCTGGGAGGGGATTACGATCGGACCGGGTGTACTAAAACAACGTTACCAGGTATACAGAGCAGGGCTACCTGAAGAAAAGAAACCTCCCATCGACATGAGGTAAGTATTGCATTATGAAACTGTTTTAGAGGATATAAACGCTAAAAGACAAGGGGATGTCCGAATGTGACAGACCGGTGGCGTGGGGTCCACGCTCCGCCAGTGTCAGGAGTGTCAAGAAGTTTTGCACGTGTGTTTCTGGAGTGCGGATTACGCTACAAGGCATAACTTGTGAGCTGAAGATATTAAAGAAACCGGCATACCCACGAAGCTTGATATAAACCGCCCTGCACAGTACCGGTGTGGAACGTAATTTTACTCCCGTGCCATGCTGCCACTTTAACAGCGACTTCTGTGGCAAAAGGGCGCCGCTCGCCATCGGCAACTTCACGTCGTTTGACCAAGGTTTGACAAAATACTATGTAAGGGTAGGAACAGCCTTGTAGAACCGGTGCAAGTAGTGCAGGGATGAGAAGCCTTTGACTGTTTATTGTACCGATCTGATGTTTTCATACGAGCCGTACACATACAGCCCGGTGCTTGTTCTCCCCTGAAGCACTTGGTTTTCCCTTTCCCGGCGGTTTTGTTAGCGGTCTGCCCGGCGCTTTTTCAAGAAAATGGGGACCACATTCCCTGCGTATTTTGTGTCGGTGGATTTTACCCCCTCAGGAGAGCAAGAAACCACAAACTCAGCTGAACTTCTGTTTTTGCTTACAATGATGGTGTAATTAGCCCGTTTTCTCCCTCTCTCCAGATTGTTTCCCAATGAAAAGTAATTTGCACGCTCTCCCTCTAACTTTTGTTATTCATATCAAAAGGGCTGTGAAACTCATTAGCAAAAAAAAGAGAGTGGAAGTTATTCATTGATGGCATTGTTTTGGGAAGAGTGGTAATATAGCACATTGATTGAAAGCACTCCTTTTCTATGCAGTCTGCTATTTGTTAAAAGTGACATGAGAACAAGGGGCGAATGAGATGCATGAAAAGGTGAATCCCCAAATTGATGAGGGACATTCTTGCAACTGTTGCTTTGTGTTTTCACATTCCATTTGCTTCAGTCATCTACCAGATAACTGCAACTTCAAAGAATTGCCCCTTGGAAAACTTGAAACATTAGAAAATGGTAAAATTGTTTGTTCATTGTTTACCTTTTCTCTTCATAGGACTGTGGTCAATGCAGCCCTTGTGATTCTGTTGCTGGCAGGTTGTGGCAGGACCACGCCCGTAAGTAGAACTATTTTCCATGTTGTTCTGATTGTCTTGTACTGTTACAGCAACTTAACATCTTCTTCCTTCTGTTTTCTCACCTGGCATATACTTTTGGCATGTAGTGGAACAAGTTCAGTTTTGTTCCTTGCATGCTTTAACCTCGGCCCATTTTACACTATCAAATGTTGAGGGTGAAATGACAATGACAATGACAATCATGAATATGGTGCCTAGTTAATCTCCAAGCAGATCATACGGTGGCACGGCAGTTTCCATTGGCCAGAGGAGTGTCCATTAGCCACCGGTGGCTAATGGACACTCCTCTGGCCAATGGATGCATTCCTCCGGCCAATGGATACTGCCTTGCCACCATATGATCTGATGATTAGGAATTGGGCCTATTAGATCAACTCTCATTGTTCATGACAGGAACTTGGTAGAGGAACTTGGCTGGTTTCATCCCTTGTAGCCATGTCACTGGTGACCCCATGTCATGCTGAGTGTACATGTGTTGAAGTTTCCTCCTTACCTTCCGACCTCATATCTCCTCCCACCAGCAGACTGGTCCACTTCCTGAGCGACTTCCCACCTCCCACATATCACATAACTACATCTACAGGGGAAACCATGAAACATTCTACAGATAGTTTGCAGAAAACTCTACAAAACAAGACGTTTTAGACATTTTCTCTCAAAGTGTGACACAGTGGTTTGTTGTTATTTTCTGGACTTTGTATGCACGATGTGATTTCAGTTTCAGAATCTTTTTGATTACAAGTTTCCATGGAGTTTTATCCCCTGGACCAAATTTTGAAAATCAACTCTGTCAGTGTCACTAAAATTAATGTCAAAAGTTCAAATCTCAGTTTCAATTCATGACTCGACAAGAGGAGTGATTTTGATAGCAAAAACCTTACATATTCTTTTACTGTACTTCATCTTGTTGAATTATACCTTTTGACAAGGTGCTCTGCTATACATGTGATGTTTGATTCCTTTTTTATATATCAGGTCCTTCCAGACAATTAACTATGTCTATAAACAAGCCGTCAAGTACGGCAATTAATCAATGACAATGTGTTCCATACTAGCAACTAATTTGAACAAGATGTTTTGGCTTCTTTCACTTCCTTTACATAAATTTATGTCCAAAGTAGTTCCCATTAATTGATGAATGATGGTTACAGTTAATCCAGCAGTAATTATTTCAGTTACAGTGGTTGCAGCCAGGAAAAGAAGGAATTTTGATAAGGTCTCATTTTGGGTACTACATTGTGGTAACCATCTGTTAAACTGCTTAGCTTAGGCTATACCAGGCTAGAGCAAGGAAGACAATTCCCACTTCTATGATAAATCTTTGATTGTTTGGTTCACTTTACATGAAATTGGTGGAAAAACGTACCAGCTGGAGCATGTTGGCACTGACATCAAGTGCTAACTAGAAACTTTTCTTTCAAACCATACTGAACTCCTCTGTCAGCTGGTGATAAGTGGGTAGAAACCTGTCAGGGAGAGTGCTGGGGAGCCACACATGTGTGAGGTGTTGATTACAGACCCTGCATGTGTTAGCTTTGGTGGAGAACAGGATAAACAGCAGAAATGATACTGTAGGAATTTCTATTTGACAAAAGGTGCTGATTGGAGGGAAGGCAAACACACTTGGATTGTGGAGTGTTTGTAAACATGACAACAGTCACTGTTTCCTAGAGAATGTGTTTGAAATTCTGTGATGGCATTTGAACCTGGGTGGGTGGTAGAAGGAAAAGGTCAAGGCCAGGATTGGGATGTTGGATGTATTTTCTTCTATTTATCCAAGAAGGATTTATGTTTTCATCAAAGAAAATATGTGGATTTCAATACAGTGTGAATTTAGAAAATACTGGAAATGAAATTCTTGGAGCAAAACCAGGTCACTCAATTGTGACCAGATAGTGATGTTGTGTTGCCGGGGGTTAGGAATTTTAAAGGAAAACATACAATATTTAGAATGTTTAGATATACTGTATTTTCATTTAGAATGTTTATAATTGTTCCTACCTGTGGAAAGATGCAAAGAAGAGAGCCTCAGGTGGCCAAGCAATAGCATGTCAAAGGAAAGTAGAGCGAGACCTTGCAGAGATTGATGATGATTTTTCTGCTCATGTTTAGACGAGAAAGAAGCGTCAGGATCCCGGTGAATCAGGAGAAGGGTGGAGCCCGTGGGGAGAGTGGGGACCCTGCTCCAGGACCTGTGGAGGAGGTGTGTCCTTCCAGGAGAGACTCTGTATCGTCACCAGGTAACTACACTTCTCTGTATGTGAAGTCTAGAAGTACAGATCAGTCAGATGTGGAGTCTGGCCATGTGTTTTACATGTGTTTTTGAGACTTTAAAAATTTTTTGTATGTTTTTCTAGAGTCTCTCCTCCCCTCAGACGTCTAGAAAGACATATAAAAAGCCTCAAAATCATGCATAAAAGTTGAACACTGAGCCAGACAATCATTCTGCGTAGAGATTTACTAGCTAAATGTAGCACTATGCCAGACAGACATGAGGAGATCATAATTGAACTGTGTAATCATCTTTGAGATATTCAATGTCTATTGTTGTACTCTTTTTGTTCGAGTACAACTTTAAAATACAATGTATGATACATTAAAATTGTATTTCTGTTGACTGTTCTATTTCTAAGCCATCGTTTCATGAGTTCTCCACATGTTCTGTATGCCTTGTGCAGTGTGGTACCAGTTAACGTTTCATTTGTCTGGTAGGAAATGACAAACAATTTTGAAGTGAAGAAAAGCCTCAGACCACCTTGGGGTGTAGTTTCCAGTGTTGTACAATAGAGTACTTGTCTTCAACCTTTGGTTGAATAACAAGCGTGTGTGTAACCCTTGTGTGATGAAAGCCATATGTTCTTGTTCAAATGTATGGAAAGGATCCAGAACAACTGAAATAGGAGGAAAGGTACAAGAATGGACGATATAGGTTTTCAATCCCTGCCAAAGTAATATACAAAAACAATACAAAAGTATCTTTCATATTTTATCCACTGGATACTTTTTGGAAGGCAATCTAAAATTGACTATAGCTGGAAGGAAGAGCATTGGATTTATCTGTCAGACAGAAATTGGGATTCTGTTAGGACTATGATGTGTAGTGAAGTAAATGTGTATTCATTTCCCAGGCCTGTGGGCAGATTTTTATCAGCAAAAGCTCAAAGGTTTTCACACCCCATTACCCCTTATTAATCCCTGCTCAAACCCAGGAGGACAGGCTCCCAGGAGGACTGCAGTGGTACTGTTACAGCAGAGTGGGAGTTACTGTTTGCTTTGTTACAGGATTAAATTTCTAATTGTAAGGATTAGGTGCAGAGGCTGCACTCAGTCCAAATCTTGAAGTTCCAAAGTATACTAAACGGAAATGGGTTTCACATTCTCTTCAGAGTCAAGTTGGAGTTCAAGTGTAACATCTGGCACAGGTTCTCCAGCACAGGGCTGGGGTGTATTTCAGATTGAAGTTTAAAGTCAGATGCAGTCATTTCAAACATTTGAACTCTTTACTGTACTTCTAGGTTAATACCCTTTTTGTTGCAAGGCTGTGAAGTAATTTATTGAAAAAGTAAATGGTTATCATGATAGTATGATGATGACAAACCTATGAATATTTCAACTTGAAGCCTTCCCCCACTGAGTGGCAAATGGTTGATTAATTGATTGATTGATTCATTGATTGAATCTCAATCTTTCAGGTCAGATGGAGGAGACAACTGTGTGGGACCTAGGAGGAATTACAGGTCCTGCAATATACAGGTACGGACAAATGATAATGTTTCAACATCGTATGTTGTAGTCTTTGCTATTGCTGAAAAGAAATGAATGTGACCATCTAATTTTGTCCAGCAAGGATGACTTTTCCCCATTCACAAGAT